CAAACATGTAGTCTGGAATGATGCAATGAAACTGGAAATCAAGGCTCTAGTCAAGAATCATACCTGGGATGTTGTCACTCTTCCACAAGGCAAGAAACCTGTTGGAAACAAGTGGATATAAAAAGACAAGTTTCTTTCAGATGGTTCTCTTGTAAGGCACAAGGCTAGATTGGTTGCCAAGGGCTACACTCAACAAGAAGGTGTAGATTATCAAGACACTTTTGCACCAGTTATTAAGATGACAACAGTGAGAACTATTCTTGCAATTGCAACAATGAGAAATTGGCATATTCACCAACTAGACGTGAATAATGCATTTCTACATGGAGACCTCAATGAAGAGGTCTACATGACTCATCCCAAGGGTTACATTCCCCCTCCTGGTATCCCCAATCCAGTTTGCAGATTAAGAAAGTCAATCTATGACCTCAAATAGGCTTCCAAGCAATGGTTCTCTAAGCTAACTGACAAACTCCAACAGGTTGGCTATGTTCAAAGTAAGGCAAACCATTCTCTCGTCTTCAGGGTTACAGAAACCAGCTATACCTACATTTTGATTTATGTTGATGATCTGGTATTGGGTGGCAATGATATCTCAGAGATAGAAACTCTAAAACAAGTTCTACATGATGAGTTCAGTATAAAGGATCTTGGCACTTTGAGATTTTTCTTGAGGATTGAGGTAGATCGCAACAAATCAGGCATTCATTTATCTCAAAGGAAGTACACTCTGGAAATACTTGAGGAAGCACAAGTACTTGATTCCAGACCAGTTTCTACACCTATGGATTACAAACTTCATCCAGCAATGATACATACAATCTATTTGAGGATCCAGAACTCTACAGAACACTAGTTGGCAAGTTGATCTACCTAACCAATACTAGACCTGACATTAGTTTTGCTACTCAGCAACTAAGTCAGTACATGTCTAAGCCCACAACATCCCACTTCAAAGCTGTTCTTCGAGTTCTGCGTTACCTCAAATCAGCACCAGCAACTGGTCTGTTCTTCCCAGCAAAAAGGGAGCTTTCAACTTGAAGCATTCACAGATTCTGATTGGGCCGCTTGTGTTGATACACGAAGATCTACAACCGGCTTCTGCATTTATCTAGGGGATTCATTAATTTCGTGGAAAAGTAAGAAGCAACATACAGTTTCTCATTTCTCTTGTGAGACAGAGTATCGAGCTCTGGCCCACACAGCCTGTGAGATCCAATGGCTCCAATTCCTTCTTCAAGACTTCCAGGCTTTTTCCTCAGCTCCTGCAACATTGTATTGCGACAATCAAAGTGCGATTTACATTGCCAAAAACCCTACCTTTCATGAGCGCACAAAACACATTGAACTTGATTGCACTTTGTTCGTGAGAAGATTCAGGCAGACTCCCTCAACCTACTTCACATCTCTTTAGTGCATCAAGTTGAAGATTTGTTCATGAAGCCCATATCTCTAGCTCCATTTCTATCCCTACTCTCCAAGCTTGGTGTGCGAAACCTCTGCCCACCAGCTTGAGGGGGGTAACAGATTCAAATCCTTTTTCAACGGTCTGATTTTCCCACGATGACGTTTTTCCTCTAGCAGCTCCACTTGACGAGACGATGACGTTTTATTCCCAGCTTCTTCCTCACACAAGACGATTTCGTTCCTGTTTTCCTTTACGGTGGCATCTTTTCTTTTCTTTCAAGCTTGTCAAGTTTCCTTTCCAAGCTACCAAACAAAATTGTAATGGTGCTTGTCTTCTTCGGTATTGTCAAGCCTATAAGAGGCAGAAATTGCAATGAGAATCACAAGTTTAGGATTTCAATTCACTCTACACTTCGTTATTATGGTATCAGAGTCTCGAATTGAACTCTAGTCGCCGCCTTCCTCTTCTACGATGGCTGACAATCAAGCCGCACCAGAGCCTCAAGCACAGCAGCAAGATGCTGCTGCTCCTCTTCCTGGTTGATCCGTTGTCCGATCCCTTCTTCCTTCATGGCTCCGAACAGCCTGGATCTCTCCTTGCGGCTTAAAAACTCACAGCCACCAACTACAACGATTGGAGTAGGCGAATGTTCAATGCCCTCTTTGCCAAAAACAAGATTGGCTTCATTAATGGTACTATACCAGAACCTGCTGCTACAAATGCGAGACATGGTTCCTGGACAAGCAACAATGTCATGGTTCTCAGCTAGATCCAGCAATCCACCTCTCCAGAAATCAGGAAGACCATCCTCAGCAGCAAAACAGCCACAGAGGCATGGAAAAGTCTTCAAACACGTTATGGATCTGGAGATCTCATCCGCATTGCTGAACTTGAAGAAGCTCTTTCTACTCTTCAGCAAGGTAACGAAACAGTTACAAAGTTCTCCGTCGAAGAGGTAGTCTCCAGGCCGTTGACAGTTGTCAGCGTGGTTAGAGTCAGGTCCGGCGGTTGTTGCTCGTCCGGTGGACGACCAGGCGACGTCATACCTTCCGCTGGAGCCAGTTGCGACAGAGAATTCGTACATAGCATTTTTCTAAGACTTTGATTGACCTTCTATAAGACTTTGATTGACATTCTCTAAGCATTTTCCTTCGTCTTTGTTAAGTTTAACTACCAAATCAATCTTAATCTATCCAAGCAAAAATTAAAGCTCCAAATAATGTGAATTCATAAGAAGAAAGAGGTTCACCCGACGTCAAGAGTAGGGTTGTTAATGAGCCGAGTCGAGCCGAGCTTTGCCATAGTTCGGGCTCGGCTCGTTAATATATTTCCAGGCTCGAGCTCGGCTCGTGTTCGTCACGAGCTTTAATATGCAAGCTCGAGCTCGGCTCGTTTATGAAAATGAAAGCTCGAGCTCGACTCGAGCTCGGCTCGTCAAATAAGCTTAACGAGCCCAAATTCGAGTTCAGCTCATAACATGTTCATGATAGCTCAAGATTGTCCTAGAACTGCGCACAAAATTACATTATAACCTGTAGCAAAGTCTAGCAAAGTAAAACACAATATCTATCCCAATTTCAATACATAAAATCCATGAATTCTAATCCTTTTTTTTATGTCAAACCATTAAATGAGCTTGTTCGCAAGCTTTCGAGCTGAACATGGTATGGCTCGAATTCGGCTCGTTTAGTTAACGAGCTTGTTCACGAGCCGGCTCGATTAAAACGAATCGAATGTCGAATGAGTTTTTCTCGAGTCGAACACCGAGTCGTTCATGAACGGCTTGGTTCATTAACAGCCCTAGTCAAGAGAATATAACTTCGTTGAAATGATGCGCATAATGGTATGGATGAATGACTGTGCTATGTGGTAAATCAAACCTATAGTACGGTATATCTCTTTTCTGTTATTAATTTTTTTATCGCAAATTTTCTAGATAATTAATTTGCGCTTTTTGACAGGACTATATAATTATATTGTAGATTGATAAATTGTGGTTTTGATTTTGAGGTCTGTTGAATTTATTTGTGGTATTTGATTTTGTAAATTAATTGAAGGTAACATTTGGTTCAAGTAACTCTAAATCGTTGATTAAAATATTGCTACTTAAACTATAAATGTATTATGTAACGGTTATGGAATGACAATTATGTTTTTATCTAACCTTTTAGGAATATGTATATATAAGAATTAGTAATAATTTTGTGTTTCAATAAAATTTGTGTCAATATTCATTATGTTACCTATCACTTATTAATTGTGCAATACCATGCTACTATAATATATAAATAAATCATTTGAAGATTGAAAATAACAAATTTTTTTTTTTGCTGAATCAAATGCTCTTTTATTAATTTCCAAGCTTACAATACAAATAGTGCCCTTTTATTGAGGGATTTGGTCCTACAAAATGCTACTATAACAGATAATCCTTGCAGTACATGCTTGATTTCAGACAATCAGATCTTTGATCCCCAATCCCCTTTCTATCTTAGGTTCAGAAATGTGATCCCATGCCAATTTTGCTCTCCCTTGACTCAGCTCCATGCCATAAGTATAATCAGAACATATCTTTTGGATTTGCAGAATTACTTTCACTTGGAATCAAAATACTAGATAATTCCCATAAGAACAGAAGTACCAATTGAAGCCTCCCTGCTGCATATGTAAGCTTGCGTGCCTGCCAAGACTTGATCTTCTATGTCAGTTTATCAATCAAGACTTGGATAATAACCATTATTTCTTATGTAATTGTTATTAAAAACATTTCCATACAGTGACTTACACTTTACGAACTGAATATTGATTAATATTCATCATTTAAAAGAAACGTTAAACAATAAGAATTGCATTTTATGTAGTGCAGCCTGCAGATTGTACTGTCTCTGACGAAATGCTCTCAACTCCGCTGGAAGGAATGCCCTCCGCAGCGCCGCCGCAGGCACTCCTCCCATCGGACCGACCGCCGGACCTCACCTCGAAACCCTCTCTAGCGGATTCTGGCACCGCGCACTTAGCGACAGCAACCGATATGATCATAGATGCCTCCGCTGGATCGGGGGTTGGGACTGGAGACATCGAAATTGCCGATCCACCGGCCACGGCCACGGAAAGAGAAACGGTGCAAGCGCAGGAACCTCCGGTGCAGAGCAAGCCTACGGCACAGTTCTCCTATGCATCGGCGGTGAGGGGGGGAAAACCCACATTATCGTTCTCCGATCAAGCTTCTCAATGGACTCCGGTGGGCGAAAACGACCTGATCCCGGGTAGCCGAAACGGAGAGCCGGCCCTCAATATTTCAGCGGCCTTCAAAGAAAAGATCTGTGCCCCCTGGCACCGTACAATTGTGGTTAGGCTCCTTGGCACCACCATCGGATTCAATACTCTCTGCTCTCGACTCCGCGGGCTCTGGAGGCCAACAGGCGCCATGGAAATCATGGACCTTGACCAAGACTGCTTTTTAGTGAAACTCAGTAATGAATAGGACTACTTCAGAGCCCTTACAGACGGACCATGGACTATCTTTGACCACTACCTAGCAGTGCAGCAATGGTCTCCGAGCTTCAAGGTTTATGATCCGCTTCCGAGGAAGATGATTGTTTGGGTCCAATTTCCGGCACTGAAAATCCACTTTTATCACAAAGAAATTCTGACTTCCCTAGGCAATCTCCTCGGAAGAACGATTCGCTTGGATTTCCATACCCTAAATCTACAACGTGCAAAGTTTGCTAGGATCGCCGTTGAAGTAGACCTGTCCAAGCCCCTGGTGCCTCGGATTTGGTTGGACGATGCCTGGCAGAAAGTCGAGTATGAAAATCTCCCCGATGTGTGTTTCGATTGCGGGAAGATTGGGCACTCCGCCCTGCTCTGTCCCAAGCTGTGACCTCAATCTCCCCCGCCGATCTTAGCTATCACCGGCGGCGAGGCTCCGGCTAACGAGGATGGATAAGGAGAAGAGGAATCGACTCCGAGATTTGGGCCCTGGATGCTCGTTTCCCGCAAGAGCAGGCGGAATTAGCGGGATCCATCACAAAAAGGGGAATTAGATTCCTCTTCTAAGAATGCCAACGGTAGTATGCCTGTAAAACAAGGAAAGCAGGAGGTTTCGCAGAAGGAAGGTGGAAGGACAACCCCGATATCCCCGCAGAACGCCCCAGATTCTCCCCAACGGACATCCACACACGACAGGAAAGGAGGAATAGGAAAGAAACACACAGGAGACAAAAAAGGAAAAGAACCAGCCTCAACTTCGGCAAGGGTTGGAGGAAAGGTCTCCTGGGCCCTATCCCAGAGACTGTCCCGTCTTTTGGTAATGGGCCAAAACCCAAGGATGACCAGGCCCAAGCCTCAACTTCGTCCAAAAGCCCGCCCAAGTCTTCTACCTATCCAAAACCCAAGGATCAGACTACGCCCCTGCTGAAATTGTCACCGCCAGTGGGAGACTCGGCCACCGGGATCGCGAAAAGCAAGTCGACGCCTCCTGCCGTCCAAACGGTGACGGGGGCGAATGGTACAATAATGCAAATTGTTAATCTTCAGCCTGCCCAGGAAGGAAACAGGGAAGCCAAATCCGCTCAGACCCCTTCAGCGAAGGCCAGGACCAAACATAATAAATCTCGAAAGGCGGATCCTCGGAGAACTCCGACCAAGCTTAGCCCGCTGGAGGGATTGCAAATCTGGACGCCGAAGAAAGATCGCAAAGTCAAATCAAGAGCCAGAATTGCGACCCTCACTCTACAGGAGATCAATGCTTGGACAAATGCTGCTAAAGAGTCGCCGGACAAGCCATTAGGAGGAATTCCCAGTTCGCAAAAAGAAGGGTCAATGACCGACGCGAGACTGGCCGAACTCGACACCACTACCCAATGAGACCCTCTTCTTTGCTTTTCTCCTCCCCTCTCCCTCCCTTTCTTCTCGTTTTTATTATCATGGCCATGTCTACTAGCTCTAATTTAAGCATTTTGCCTGGAATGTAGGAGGAGCTGGAAACAGAACATTCATCCGGTCGCTGAAGCTCGTCATTTAGACCTATCACCCTGATTTTTTCATTCTTCCGGAGCCTCAGATCAGCGGCTCGGCCGCTAATGCAGCGTGTGATAGACTGGGGTATCCGAATTCAATCCGAGTAGAAGCAAATGGAAGAAGCGGGGGCATTTGGGTCTTCTGGGACGCCAAGAGATTCTCGGCCCAGCTCATATCTGTGTGCGACCAGCACATCTCCCTGAGGATTGAGGAGGCCACCAAGCAACCTTGGGTCTTAACCGCAGTGTACGCGTCACCCCGGCCTAGCGAGCAGCGCCTTCTCTGGGACAGCCTCATCCAGCAAAGCGAATTGCTCGAACTCCCTTGGATAATTTCGGGAGATTTCAACGCCATACGCAGTCCCGAAGAGAAGTCTGGTGCACCCACGGCTTCTACCCTGAGGAGATGTCGCATCTTCAATGATCGCATTAATCGAGCAGAGCTGATTGATTTTGGTTTCTCTGGTGCGAGATTCACGTGGACAAGGGGAGACCAGCAGCACTCTTTTAAGGCCAGCAGAATTGACAGGAGTTTGTGCAACTTGCGGTGGAATGAAAAATTTCCAAACTCCACTGCTACCCATCTCCCTAGGCTGCACTCGGACCATGCTCCTCTGCTGACCTTTATCTCCCCGCATTCTGGAGGCAACAACAACACTCGGCCCTTCAAGTTTGAGGCAGCCTGGCTAACGGATGGCAGTTTGAGAGAGGCTGTTTCGGCCTCCTGGGATCCTGATTCCCCTTTTCCCAATGCAATTGCTACTCTCTCAAGCAAGTTGCAGCAATGGAATGCTTTCACTTTCGGCAGTATCTACAGGAAGAAGAGCAGACTGTTAGCCAGAATCAAAGGCATCGACTCTAACCTGGCGGATTTTTTCTCTCCTGGGCTTGCTAAACTCCGATCGAAACTTGAAGTGGAGTTGGACAGAATCCTTGAACAGGAAGAAATTCTCTGTTTCCAGCGCTCCAGGGACAGGTGGGTGAAATTTGGGGAACGTAATACGGCTTACTTTCATCAACTTGTCAACATCAGAAGACGCAGGAACAAGATCGAAGCGCTCCAAGATCCGAACGGAAATTGGGTGAATGAGCCGCATACTCTGGCTTCCTTATTTTTCGACTATGTGTCTAACCTTTTCCTGCAGGAGGATCTTCCCTATGAAGACAGGCTGCCTCAAAATGCGTTCCCTTCTCTGAGCCACTCGGAGATGCTTTTGCTTCTAACCCCCTTTTCTATACAGGACATACACAGATCGATCTTTGAGATGAAGCCGTTCCAAGCTCCTGGACCTGACGGCTTTCATGCGACTTTCTACCAGCAGATGTGGGAGATTGTGGGAAAAAAGTTAGCAGACATGGCACTGTCTTTCTTTGCGACAGGCTCTCTTCCGGATGGCATATCAGACTCCACCCTTGTGATGATCCCGAAGGTGGAAACTCCTGAAAGGGTCAACCAGCTCCGCCCCATTTCGCTAAATAATGTTAGTCTCAAAGCCATCACTAAAGCCATGACCGGCAGACTGAAGCCCCTCATGAGGAAGCTGGTGTCTCCCAGGCAAAGCAGCTTCATTCCGGGAAGGCAGACGACTGACAATATCATCGTAGTTCAGGAGGTCCTCCACACTCTGGAGAGTAAGAGGGGCAAGAAAGGAGGAATGGTTTTTAAGATTGATTTGGAGAAAGCTTATGATAGACTGAGATGGGACTTCCTTAGGGACACGCTGAAAGAAGTAGGCCTGCCCAGTTCCTGGATCAACTGTATTATGACTTGTGTGGAGCAGAACAGGATGAGAGTCCTCTGGAATGGCGAGCTCTCTCAGCCGATCTCCCCATCCCGCGGCGTCCGTCAGGGAGACCCCCTTTCTCCCTATCTTTTTGTCCTTTGTATGGAGCGGCTATCGCATAGGATTGATGAAGCAGTTAATAGTGGGCAGTGGAAAGCGATTAAGCTCTCTGCTAATGGCCCACCTCTAACTCATCTTTTCTTTGCAGATGATCTTCTCCTTTTTGCGGAGGCGGAGTCTAGGCAGATCCAGATAGTGAAACAATGTTTGGATGACTTTTGCTTCAGCTCGGGGCAAAAGGTCAACTACGATAAGTCGATTCTCTATGTCTCCCCAAACATTCATCGGCAGAGGGCGTCGAGACTGAGCCACCAAGCGGGTGTTCCTCTTAAAGCGGCCTTGTGGCGATACCTCAGCATTCAGGCTATTCAGGGACGTGTGACCAAAGACAGATACCAATCTCTCATCCTCCGTATCCAGAAGAGAATGGCTCCATGGAAGGCAAAACGCCTCTCCTTTGCGGCTAGACTCACTCTAACCAACTCTGTTGCTGTGTCTTTACCGTTTTACAGCATGCAGACTGAGCTGATCCCGAGCAATGTGTGCAAAAGCATTGACAAGTTAAGCAGGGACTTTATTTGGGGAGACGAGCCGGAGAAGAGCAGGATGCACTTGGTGGCCTGGGACAAGATGACTTCTCCTAAATGCCAAGGCGGAGTGGGCATTAGGCAGACCAGGCAAGCCAACATCGCTATGTTAGCCAAGAGCGGATGGCGCTTGATTCAAGAGAAAGATACTTTGTGGACTAGGGTGATGCAAGCGAAGTATGGCAGACAGAGGCAAGGCCTCAATCTGATCAAACCAGTAAAGGGAAGTTCCTTTACCTGGGCCAGCTTGGCCAAAGCTTATTTCATCCTTAATAAAGGATGTGCGTGGAATGTTAAAAATGGTAAAGGCACTAAATTTTGGCTTGACCCGTGGGTTTTACAGGTACCTTTGAAGGAGATGGCCACTGGCGAGATTCCTCCTGAGCTGGTGGAGGCGACGGTTGCTGATTTCACTAATGATGACGGAAGTTGGTGTACCGAGCTCTTCAACAACCTTCTTCCGAGTGAACCTACCAAAAAATCCTGAGTATCGCAGTTGACAAGCTCTCTCAGGAGGAGGACCGGCTGTTCTGGGCGGTGAGTGCAGATGGCCGCTTCTCCACCAAATCGGCCTTTGATTTGCTCACCAAAAGACCCCCGGACCCGAATGAGAAGATCTGGAAGACCATTTGGCGCCTCCCAGTGCCGGAGCGGATCAGAACGTTCATGTGGCAGACGCTGTTGGGGAAGATTGTCACTAATGTGCTCCGGTACGGCAGGAAGATTGCTACGAGCCCTTGCTGCGACCAGTGCAACAACCAGCCGGAGACGATCCTTCACATTCTCCGGGATTGCCCCCCAGCCCTCTTTTTCTGGTCCCGCCATGTCCCTACCCAGCGCCAGCAGACCTTCTTCAGCGATCAGCAGGAAGACTGGCTCCGCAAGAACTTGCTTGAAGAGGATATGATGGCGTCTGACATTAGCTGGCCGGCTTTCTTCAGCATGGCTGCCTGGCTACTATGGAAGAACAGGTGTACGGCTGCCCTCCGGGGCAAGACTGCTGCCCTCTCAGCTCCTACCCTCGAGCACTTCATCATGATCAAGGCGAAGATGTGGCATGACTCCTGGCACGCGCCTTCTCTTCTTCCGGACGGTCGTGCGCGTCCTGCAGCTCGGCAATGGGAGAACATTGGCTGGTCCCCCCCTCTTGATGGATGGGTTACTTTGAATGTGGATGGGGCTTCTAATGGGAATCCGGGGCCGGCTGGAGCGGGAGGAGTTATCAGAGGCCCCACTGGTATGTGGATGGGCGGTTTCGTTGCAAATATTGGAGTGGCCACGGCGGCCCTTGCTGAGATTTGGGGAATCAACTATGGTCTGGATTTGGCATGGAGACTTGGATACAGAGCAGTCAGAGTTGAATCTGATTCACAATTGACCGTGAAGCTCATTCAGAACAGAGACGATCCCCTCCACCCGTATGCCACTCTT